GTCCTCGAGATATTGTAGTCCTCGAGATACCTCGAGGACACTTTTACATTCCGTCAATGTCCTCGAGAATAGTCCTCGAGACATACACCACCAACATACCCCCTAAGACCTGGGTACCTAACTAACAAACATAAACACCCAAGGATTCTACATCAACCCTAACACCACTTGTCAAACAATTCCATTACAAGTAGGACATTCTTTATAATAGAAATTCCCTTGGATAAAAACATCCAACCAACACAATCCTACTAGGAGTACACTACCTACTCCTATAAAAGCAGAACCTTGGGCCATTATTCAGGTACGTTTTTCTCATTGTTCTTCAGCACATAGCCTCACGCATATATTTCCTTTTCTGACTTAAGCATCGGAGGGGCGACGAGAACACACCTCGTTGCCTTTGTTTCAGGTATCGGAAGATCACGTTCGTGCTCCTCACCAGTCATCAAGCTCGGAAAATCAGCAGGTACGATTTTTGGTAGCATCACCTGGAATTTTATATACTGTGTTGTGCGTGAAAGAGAGAGAATTAGGGCTACTGTGTGCAACTGCACGGTATACCGAAAGCTGAATATGAGATTTGTGAAGATTTCACTCGGGGTTGGGTAAGTTTATAAAAGTTATTTTAAGAGGTTTATTCATCTGGGTTTATTAAAGATTTTTGAAATTTTAAAAAGTTTATGTTTATTTAATTGAGAAAAAATGGATGAATAATCTTGTATTTCGCAACTATAACTGCTGTTAGGTAGATTGCTTAAAAATTTAGAAGGATAAATGAAGATATACATTGAATGGATTGTTGATGAACTAACGATGCTCATTTCTATTTTCATACTTATTAAGGTTGTAACCAAGGGGTAAATTGAGAAGAACAAGTGCACATTTATTATCACAAAGTACCTATTGAATTACAATGGTGAATGGTCCATTAGGCCCAATGGTGAAAGAGGAAATTGGTCTATTCAAGATTGAATTAATTTTGTGATAATAATCCATAATTAGTAATACTTTGGTCTAAAATGTTCCTACCTTTAAAAATTATTTGTAAATAACATCCTTACCTTTCAAAAGTATTTGCGTATAAGGTCCCCACTTTTTAAACAAATCTTCAAAAACCTTCCCTATTTTCTTCTATGTGCAGCCTGTTTATATACAACAACATAAACTCCCTAAATATACTAATTCAATCACAGCATCTCAAACACAATTTAAAAAACAATTCGGCACCAATTAAGCAAAATCTCAACAAAAAAATTACCAACAAATATAATGTTGCAATTCAGATGCAACTATTCATTTCAAAAGTGCTACATATCCACTGTGCTCCACCACATGTTCTGACTGTGCTAAATTATATCCAGTAGTTCAGAGACATCAAAAACAGGTTGTTAAGTTGCTACATTATATCCACTAAAGGAACAAAAACAAAAGAAAAAAAGAAATGAACCGGAGAACCTGGCCAACGGAAGAATCCTAATTAGGTTTTGGAGTTGGTGTCCCTTTGCAGACTTTCCTATTATGTCCCAGTTCACCACATTTCGTACATGTCATTATCAGCTCTGATCTTTTTCGTTGACCTGCTGGTGTTCATAAAGTTGTCTGTGAAGTATTGACATTACGTTTCGACTTTCTAGACCTATTCGACTAACTTGAAGAAGTCACCTCATTTGCCTTTTCTCTTCTATTTTTCTTTGGGCTCCTAGCCCTCTTTGTGTACACTGGTAAGTCGAGAAGGTTTAGGCATGAATTCGGACCTGTAACGGGGAAATTGAGGGTGTATATATCGTGATATATGCAACGACAATGCATATGATTGCACTGGGGTTACGACATATATCTTCACATATGGATGTCCATCTCTGTTCATTAGCACTCCGTTCATATCATCTTCACTCTCCAATCTTGCCAACCCCTTCCCAAAACTTAATTTTTGATTCTTATAGTAAAATTCCAATACACTTTCGTCACAAGTTTCATGTGAGAATTTACTCAAATTCTCTCAGGTGCAACATTTACCGCGAAAGAAGTTGACGAAAAGCACAAATTCTTCTTCATACGTCACATTGTTTGGCTTATCATATCCAAAACCCTGAGTCCAACAAGAAGAATAAAAATTAAACCAAAAATACGGAAAACTTATAAAAGTTAAACCCTGGTGACTATGCCAATATTGATACACCCGACGCATTTATTCCTAAAAAATGGATGAATAATCTTGTATTTCGCAACTATAACTGCTGTTAGGTAGATTGCTTAAAAATTTAGAAGGATAAATGAAGATATACATTGAATGGATTGTTGATGAACTAACGATGCTCATTTCTATTTTCATACTTATTAAGGTTGTAACCAAGGGGTAAATTGAGAAGAACAAGTGCACATTTATTATCACAAAGTACCTATTGAATTACAATGGTGAATGGTCCATTAGGCCCAATGGTGAAAGAGGAAATTGGTCTATTCAAGATTGAATTAATTTTGTGATAATAATCCATAATTAGTAATACTTTGGTCTAAAATGTTCCTACCTTTAAAAATTATTTGTAAATAACATCCTTACCTTTCAAAAGTATTTGCGTATAAGGTCCCCACTTTTTAAACAAATCTTCAAAAACCTTCCCTATTTTCTTCTATGTGCAGCCTGTTTATATACAACAACATAAACTCCCTAAATATACTAATTCAATCACAGCATCTCAAACACAATTTAAAAAACAATTCGGCACCAATTAAGCAAAATCTCAACAAAAAAATTACCAACAAATATAATGTTGCAATTCAGATGCAACTATTCATTTCAAAAGTGCTACATATCCACTGTGCTCCACCACATGTTCTGACTGTGCTAAATTATATCCAGTAGTTCAGAGACATCAAAAACAGGTTGTTAAGTTGCTACATTATATCCACTAAAGGAACAAAAACAAAAGAAAAAAAGAAATGAACCGGAGAACCTGGCCAACGGAAGAATCCTAATTAGGTTTTGGAGTTGGTGTCCCTTTGCAGACTTTCCTATTATGTCCCAGTTCACCACATTTCGTACATGTCATTATCAGCTCTGATCTTTTTCGTTGACCTGCTGGTGTTCATAAAGTTGTCTGTGAAGTATTGACATTACGTTTCGACTTTCTAGACCTATTCGACTAACTTGAAGAAGTCACCTCATTTGCCTTTTCTCTTCTATTTTTCTTTGGGCTCCTAGCCCTCTTTGTGTACACTGGTAAGTCGAGAAGGTTTAGGCATGAATTCGGACCTGTAACGGGGAAATTGAGGGTGTATATATCGTGATATATGCAACGACAATGCATATGATTGCACTGGGGTTACGACATATATCTTCACATATGGATGTCCATCTCTGTTCATTAGCACTCCGTTCATATCATCTTCACTCTCCAATCTTGCCAACCCCTTCCCAAAACTTAATTTTTGATTCTTATAGTAAAATTCCAATACACTTTCGTCACAAGTTTCATGTGAGAATTTACTCAAATTCTCTCAGGTGCAACATTTACCGCGAAAGAAGTTGACGAAAAGCACAAATTCTTCTTCATACGTCACATTGTTTGGCTTATCATAAAATTGGCCTCCATAATGTACTTCAACAGTGAAATATTGAGAATTAACATCCGTGTTCAATAATATAAAGTTCACA